TTTAATGTTTAGTTCGATTTAGAACATCTTTCCAATGGTTGCTTAATTTGAAACCATCTTCTCGGTTGAAATTGTGTCTGTGTTTGTAGATCTGAATTGCCTCGTGAACAAATCTCTGATAAAAACCCGTGGGTTTGCAAAGAACCTTGGTATCGGAGAAAATTATATCGTGATCACCCACAGCGTTGTAACAGTGATCAGCCACGGCAGAAGAATTCGTTTTGCCATGTTTCAAATCTGATTTGTGCTCGCAAATTCGGTCAGAGACATGTCGCTTTGTCTCCCCGATATAGCAATCACCGCAGGTACAACTCAATTTGTAAACCCCGGGGTACTGTAAGTCAGGAATGACATCCTTCACGGATGGGATCAGATCACGAATTTTGTGTACTGTATTGAACCGGACCTGGATCTTGTGTTTGTTTACAATTTTGGAAATCTTTTTAGTAACACCTGCTATATATGGTAGTGTGATGGTTTTGACCGGAGTATCAAGTGGTTGTTTCTGTATGGAGGGAGAAACAGCTTGGGGGATGGTACGGTCAGAGTAACCATTCCTTTTGAGGGCCAGGTGTACATGTTTTAATTCACTGGTCAGATGGTGTTGGTCCGAAATGCAATGAGCCCTCTGGTATAAAGTTTTGATGAGATAATTCTTTTGGGCTGGGTGGTGGTGGGAATCAGGTTTCAAGTAGGAATCTGTGTGGGTGGGTTTCCTGTAGACAGAATGCCCCAATGAGCCATCAGGTCTCCTCTCAAACAACATCTAAGAATGGTAGCTTGCCATCTTTCTCCACTTCCATGGTGAATTTTATGGCGGGATGTCTGGAATTGATGTGGTGTAGGAAAAGGTTCAGAGCTGGGAGGCCATGTGGCCAAATGACGAAAGTGTCATCCACATATCTCTTCCACAGGGAAGGTCTGAGGGTGGAAGTCTGGATGGCGTCTGATTCAAATTTCTCCATGAAAATATTGGCTATCACTGGTGACAAGGGGGATCCCATGGGGGTACCCTCATTTTGTTTGTAGAAGGAGCCATTGCAAGTAAAGTAGGTATTGTTGAGGCAGTGCCTAACCAGTGCAGGTGTGTAGGGGTCTAGTCCATGTTGGACCAAATTTTCAATTATTTCAATGGTATCAGGTACTGGGACCTTGGTGAACAAAGAGACCACATCGAAGCTGACAAGGATATCGTCAGGGGACAGTACAACGTCTTTGACCATAGAGACCAATTGGGCTGAGTTAAGTACTGCTGAGGCGGTCTTGCCAGTGAAAGGCAGCAAGGTATCTGACAGAAAATGGGCTCGTCTATAGGTAGGGGAGTTGATCGTGGATACGATGGGTCGTAGTGGGGTGCCTTCTTTATGAATCTTGGGAAGACCATAGAATCTAGGGGGTCTTGCAGCAGAAGGTTTTAGGGAGGGACGTTTAGTTGGGTCGATTAGGGAGGTCGAACTTGTGATGATCTTGTTGGTTTTTATCGCTAGGCTATTGGTAGGGTCATTTTTTATTTTTGAGTAACTTCCATCGTTGAGCAGATTCTGGATTTTGTTGTATGAATCTTTATCCATAATTACAGTAGCGTTGCCTTTATCGGCTGAGAGGATGACTATATCACTTCTGTTTTTTTTAAATTCGCCAGTTCAGAGCGTTCATTTTTGCTGATGTTACTAATGGGTTTCTTAGCATTCTTAAGAATAGTGGCTATTTCAGCTCTCGCAACGTCTGCTTGGATGTGTCCTACGCCTTTGAGGGCTACATCGACCTGAGAGATAATATCATCTACTGGTATGTGTTTTGGGGTGACAGCAAAATTCAGTCCACTAGCCAGTACTGTTTTCAGATTGTCTGAAATCGGGGTGCTACTCTGATTAATGACGATTTTGTTAACATCTAGTTTTGTTATATGTGGAACTGGGTTCTTCTTTGATAGGTGGTTGAATTTAGCAATCAGGTTAGCTTTACATTTGACTGACAGTGAATCAGTAGAAGAAGCAGTCATGTTGTCTCTGCTTACTGGAGGAAGAACTGCCCATTCCACATTCAAGCTTCCATTAGATCTATCCCAGCAAGAAAACCCTGTTTGCAATATTTCAAAGGGGACTGCCCTTGCACAAGTCCTGGTTAGTTGTGAATTAATAGTGTGGGATGAATGCACCATGTCCCACAAGGGAGCATTTGAGGCTGTCAACACAACTTTGCAGGACCTCCGCAACAATTCCAGGATTACGGGTGGTGTAACTTTTCTCATGGCTGGTGACTTCTGACAAACCTTACCTGTAGTACTTCGAGGCAGCAAAGCTGATGAGTTAAATGTCTGCATTAAGTCTTCATTTCTCTGGAGGCACGTAATGAAACTGAGACCAACTACAAACATGCGTGTTTATCTCCATGGAGACCAAGAGGCAGGAAACTTTGCTGAAGGTCTTCTTGATATTGGAAATGGCAGAATTCTTGCTGATGGCACAGATGGACTTATCACCATGTCTAAAGGCATCCTTTCTACTTCGAAAGAGGAACTGGAGGAAAAAGTGTACCCAAACATGCAACAACACTTTAAAGATGTTGTCTGGCTACAGGAGAGGGCCATTTTGGCTCCAAAAAATAATGCTGTTCACAGAATAAATTCCATGTTGTTGCAGAAATTATCTGGAGAGAGCAAGTCCTACAAATCTATTGACTCAGTGTTGGACCATGATCAAATTGTTAACTATCCGGTTGAGTTCTTGAATTCTCTGCAGCTCCCGGGTGTTCCACCACACAGCTTGCTACTAAAAATTGGAGCACCTGTCTTGCTATTGAGAAACTTGGACCCACCTAGACTACGCAATGGCACAAGGTTAATTGTTAAAGAATTACATTCTAATGTTATCAAAGCTACAATCATTAGAGGCAATTCTAAAGGTGAAGACGTGTTTCTCCCTCGCATACCTATAATCCCAAATGACAGTCTTTGAATTTAAGAGACTTCAATTCCGCATCCAGCTCAGCTTTGCCATGTCCATTAACAAGGCGCAAGGAAAATCATTAAAAGTGGTGGGACTGAATTTGGCAACTCAGTGCTTTTCTCATGGCCAACTTTGTTGGATGCTCTCATGTAGGCAATGAAAATTATTTACATTACTTTGCACCAGCAGGCAAGACCAGAAACATTGTTTACAAGGGGGGTATAGGTCAGCAAAAAGTGTCCGTTTCACCTGTCGGCGATCTGGCTGCCAGCGGTTGTTTGTGGCACCGCCCGTGCGCTGTTGTTCTTTCGCCTCGGATCTTACCTGCCCTACCTCCCTTCTCCCCATTTCCCCCTTTTTCCTATTACTAATTATATACCGTCTGTGTTTTGTGAAGTGCCATACTATAGTAGGAGGATATACAAATTAGAGGCCGACCGAAACTGAATTTTTGGTTTCAGCAAAAACCGAAACCAGACCGAAAGTTACAAATGTACTATAATAATAGGGTTTTTCCCCTTTTTTCTGGCAACAAAACTGAAAGACAATGCACTATCAAAGTAATGAGGGCTCGGGGTGAGCATCTACATCATTAGACCTCCTTTGCCAGTACCAAAATATAATAATAGGGTTTTTCCCCTTTTTTCTGGTTTTTTCTGGTTTCACAAAAAAGATCTCCAAAATCTTGAACAAACACAAGATCCAGGTCCGATTCAACACATTACATAAAATCCGTGATCTGGTTCCATCTGTAAAATGTGATTCCGGACATACAGTACCCTGGCGTCTACAAACTAAGTTGCCTCTGTGGTAGTAGTTACATTGGAGAAACCAAATGACATGTCTCGGACCGCATTCGTGAACACAAAGCAGACCTAAAACACGGTAGGACCAACACCTCGGCCATGGCAGATCACTGCTATAATTCAGCAGGCTCACATGACATTGACTTCTCCAAGACAGTGGTTCCTTGCAAGTCATCTGGCTACCATGAGAGATTCGTTCATGAGGCTATCCACAATACAAACACAGAGACAATTTCAACCAAGAAGATGGATTCTGGCTTAGCAATCATTGGAAGGATTTGATCAACCATTTCGGGTCTTGATTGTTCACGCTTACGGTGGCTTTCAGACCGCATCCATTATTTTCGTCTCCCCCCTCCTCTTTTCCGAACATAGATGGACTCGTCCATTCGAACAAACTGCCAAATCACTCTCCGTGATGCTAAGGTAAAAAAACGCCACTTTTTTCAAATTTTCTTGCTGTGGTTTTCACACCTGATGATGATTGCTTGTGTTGCAGTCGAAACGTCGTGAGAATTTTATTGTTTTATATTTTTATTATTTTATTGTTTCCCTTCTACGTGACTTTACCGAAAGAAGCAAGAATATGAATCCCTGCAGTCACGAAAGCTTTAAATAAAAAAAAAATCTATAGTTGTGAGCAAACATTGTCAGTGGGTTTTGCGGTCACTATCACACATGAATCGCATAACAACCCCCAAAAGGTTTCTGAGTACATGGCGACATCGGGACTGAAAGGATTACGAGTTGCTGTGTATGTGTGTTGAGATTTAATGTAGAGTGATTCAGTCGGGACGTGCCATGCTTAATTGTGACATGACAAGTTCATCGTGTTTTCTCGCCTTGCATGTGCAATGAGAGAGTGCCACCTAAGGGACGACGAAGCGCTGCGTAGTCACTGCTGGGTTACTGATATCCAATCATCTGGGCCGAAGGTAATGGGCGGAGCTCGTGGGTATGTACGGGAAGCATCGTGAAGGTTCTATGAGGGGCGTGGCTAGAGGCGGAGCCTAGCTCCGCCGAAAGCAATAAGGAGAGACAGTGAGAGGACGTGGCCACCTCTGCCAGCCAAGCCCTCTCTCCTCCCAAGAGTCGCCAGCAAGCGGAGAGCGCGAGACGAGAGAGACGTGCCGCAACGGTGGATGAGGGAGCGCGCGCAATGCGGCAAGAGGAAAGAGCGGAACCATCCGGGAAGAGAGAGCGGAGCTGTGTAGTAATATTGTTAATAAAAGACACGTCTACAGTCGTCGTGGAAGTGCTTTATTACACATGCTTAGCAAGAGAGAACGTCGGAAACATGCCTCACCTCACAGCGTCCGAAGTTGATAACTGCTGTGAAATGTTGCACGAATTGCTGTGCTTAAAGTTTACATTTAAGTACATAATTAGAAGCAGGACTGCTGAGGGTGAAACGGTTTATTGCGGTGATAAAAGAATACATGAGGTTAAAAAAAACACTTTCAATGTCGTGGTCGCCGATTGCAACATTTAATATAATTAATACGGCACTCACATTGGTGTTGATAAAGTATTCCAATAATCTCAAACACTTATTCTACCATGTAGTAACCACACCTCGGTATCTGCACCAAAATCAACTCCAGGTCGTTTGCAACGTGACTACATTTGTGCTATATTTCAAATGTTAAAGCCAAAGAATATGCATCAGTTGCTCGGTCACAATCAGCTAATCATACGATATAAATTGGAATTCAACAATTATTTGCAGCATACCAGTCGATATTACTTAAAAAAATTTATTCAATCAGTGTATACTACCAGCTATGATATGGATAAGATACACAGACAAACTTGAATACGAACTTAAAAGTAGGCAAAGTAGTATGGAAAGATGCATGATCAGAATTACACTGAACTACATAGAATAGCACGTGGATCAGAGAACATGAATCGGATATAATATTGGATGAATGACTGATGAACAAGACTCGTGAACAGAATGGCAGCTCGTGGTTAAAACGTGCCTGAGAATTTGACTACTGCAGATATTTATCAGGTGAATGTATTATATAATTTCGTATGGCAATATGTTCAGGAGCTAAATGCCAACGTCGATGTCTGTTAGCCACGAGAGGGCTTCAGGACAGTTCGTGTAGTTTTGCTAGTCCGTTTGAGGAATGCATGCTATTGTGGTTAACGGTAAGGTCCATAGTCTTAATCTTCCATTTATGAAGGAGATACGTATATCGGCATGTTGATGTTCTGATGCAGTTGATGGTACACCATCGTGGACTGTCAAAGCCAGGAGGTGCGATGTTTGGATCTCGAATGAGGTCTTTATTCTGGACATCTGCGTTGTTCCACTCTGTTCGCCAGCGTTCTTTTGATAAGGTGATTAGATGAGTTAATGTGCAAGCGTGAGATTGGTTGTGCTTTCAAAGGACCATAAAATTATGGCGACAAATTACGCAGCAGGGGATACACCATGGCCAATGATACACATTTATAAAACAATCTATTTGAAATCACCATTTTATATAATTATTTACACAGATATACATTATTTCGTATGTATTATGTACTACATATACAGGCATGTATACCTTACATACGCGACACTAAAGCTAAGTTAGTTAAATGTGTGAGTTTTTATGCAATTTTCACTGATTAGTCCTTATAAAAAATACAAATTAGCTGATTGGGGCCAGATGCATTTATTATGCATTCTGGGGTCACCTAAGGCACCTGTGTATTTGTCTTTATTCGGAATATGTATTGCAATTTACAATGCATAGACAAAATAAAGTAGAGATAAATATTGATTTGTAAATATGAGCAAGAAAATGAATCAAATCCCAGTGGAAGGGTGGACTGAAAAGTATATAACAATAACATAAATGGCCTAATAGTTGACCCTGATGTGCAGGCCATGCTCTGTAAAGTTGCTGGGTTGCATGATTGAATATTTTCAGTGATTATTTTTTTCCTGCACTTCTGCCACAATGCTTCCAAGAGGAATCTTATTCTGGTTGAGATGGTGAGGACCAAAGGACATGGGCAGCAGCTCTTCCACCGAGTATGCACGATATGAAGAGCCATGTCGAGCTGTCAAGATAACCGTCCATTCTGTGCCAAACTGTGCATAATGAAAAATAAGGGTGGAAAATTAATTGAACAAACTAATGTTGAATACCTTTGCAAAGTTCAATATTGAAACACAAGAGTGATTGTGTTAGATACTCTCCTTATCGTACTGCCATATTTAGGAATACATCTTTGCTATCATTTTGAGATATCGCAGTGGCTTAGGGGGCGAATGCCAGCACCACGAAGAGCCTGGGTTTGAATCTGAGTTTTGGAAATCTGTCATTAAACTGGGTTCTAGAGAGTAGTAAGTTCGTGGTCTCGGACCAGTCACAATGAAGAATATTTCCATCACCTAGCCAGTGAACTGGCCAAGCTCTCAAGACGAATGGATATTCAGACTACACAATCCGTAAGCTATCACCCTAACCGTTGGGAAAGAACCATCTGAGGATCCAATCAAAACCATCATCTTGCCATACATAGCAGGAGTCACTAAAAATTATTTCCAAAATCATGAGCAAACAAGATCCAGGTTCGATTTAACACTACATAAAATTCGTGATCTGATCCCATCTTTGAAGGATGTGATCCCTGACATGCAATACCCCGGCGTCTACAATCTAAGCTGTGTCTGCGGCAGTAGTTACATTGGGGAAACGAAGCGACATGTCTCGGACCATGTTCGTGAACATAAGGCAGATCTGAAACACGGTAGGACCAATACCTCGGGCGTGGCTGATCATTGTTTTAATGAGGTGGGCTCACGAAATTGATTTATCTAAGACGAAGGTACTTTGCGAGCCCACTGGCTATCAACAAAGATTTGTTCATGAACACAATTTCAACTGCAAAGATGGGTGCAAACTGAGCAATCATTGGAAGGACGTTATCAACCAGTTTAAGTCATAACTGGCTTTGATGTTCCCATCCTACCACCTTCCGATGTTAGTTGTGCTTTATGCCCATTTCAAACTTGCGCGTTCACAAGATTCACGCAACACAGCCACATCGCGCGCCGACTACCCATCGGTTGCATGCTAATCTCATTAACATGCTAATTTTCACCTGGCAGCCCTTTGATTGGTGGAAAACCAACCACCGTCGGGTTGGCTCCCACCACTTGCATTAACATTGGCTGCTGACATTTGGGCTACACCCATTTCAAACCCTTATAAATAGTTTGCCTTTGGAAGCTAAACCCCCCTTTTCCTGAAGACGACCACTTGTGTTGCGATCGAAACGTCATAATTTTTGGTTATTTTCTTTGAACCTATCTACGTGACTTTACCAAAAGACCCAAAGAATACGATCATGTTTATTTATATATATTCAATCACGACTTTCTAGGGCATATAACAGGTGTGTCCTTAAGATGAATAAAGAGGCAATTTTAAGTGACTGCAACTATTTAATGGGGGCCTCTTGCCTATGACAACAGACACTCTAAAAATGTCTAAACAGGTCTGACTCGGCTGATGCGACTCAAAAAATTAAATGCTGGTCTCTAATTTGCTTGCTTAAATAAATGCTGCAACGGGGCATTGCTCCAGAGTGCCCATAGGCTGGAATGGGATTCTGTTAATGAGAGTCAAAGTCTTGTTTGACTATGGTATGTTTGTAATTTCAGAAAGTTCTGTGACATTCCAGGGCCACTATTGATTGGGTGGTGCACTAACTGTGAGACTTCCAAAGAGAAATTCCTTCATCTTATGACAAAACACTAATAGTAAAATTGGAATAGTTGTACTTCCTTAAAAAGCCTACAAACACTGTAAGCATCTTAGCTGCACTTACAGGTACCAAAGGAAAATATTTTTGACCTGTTAATGCTGTTTCTAATTTAATCACGCGTGCGGGCGAGTGCCAATTACTGTTCGCGTTATTATTGGATAATACCAAGTTGTCTGTTAATGTGTGGCCCGCCAAAGCTATGTGAAGATTCCCCACCCATTATTTAATCAAATCCGTTTTTGCAGCCACTTGGAATTAAAGTGTGGTCCTTCTTGACCCTCAGTAAGAAAAAGGTTTTCCATCCTTGATATGGAGGATAACACAAGAGGCCTCCAGCTAGCTCCGGGGGAAACGGCAGTAGTCATGAACCCACCTCTCGCATGACCTGCCGGCATGCTCCGCATGGTGAGATGAAGTCATCAAGAACGTCACTGCGGCAAACACATCCAGCACGACACACACAGCACGTCTACGTTTAGCACTCTTTGTTAATCCACTGCTGGATGACGTCCTCCCCATGTGGTGAGGGTTGTGAGGATTATTTGACCATATTTCACTACGCTGGTCAGTCTGAATGGTTTTACATGGGGAGCATAGATGTGAGAGCAATAGATTTGTCTCCACTAAACAATACACATTTTATAACCTAAGTTACATTTGTTTTGCATTATCCATGTTTTATCCAAGTCCCCCCCCCCCATTACCCCACATGATTGAGACTTGACTGTAATCCGCAGATAACTCTACAATTATCATGCAAAATGAGGCTTGTGTGACTGGAGCAGCCCAGGTATTCTTGGAGGCCCGGTGCAGAATTCCACCATCTAGTGTTCAAACCTACATCCCAATTTCTTTAGACAAAAGACCACTTGTTTGATTTTAAAAATGCATTTATTTCAATACACATAAGTTATTTAAATAATAACATTTTCAACAAACCAGGACCATGGTAGGGCCCCCTCCCTCCTCTGGGTGGCCCTGTGTGTTATATATATCACTCTGCTCACCTGGACGCTGCCACGGCTATGGCTTTGAAGCTGTGATGACCCTCGGAGACAGCCTTAAAAATAGCTGTTCGCTCAGCACAAATTCCAAGGTTGTAGCATGCATTCTCCACATTACAGCCTTGGCGTCATGCGATAGTAGAGATTGTCACGATGCAGGTGTAAGGTGTTCGGGTAAAGGAGTCACAGAAATGCATGGAGTGACATAAAAAAACAAGTTAATTAGACATCAACTCATGTCAACCCGAACTACCAAGTGAATCAACCAGCTCAGTGTCTCAACGGTAGTGACCGGTTTACAATCATACGTTTTTTGCCAGTTCATATCCTGGTTGGGGGTTGAGTCAGTCCATCATCCCTCCAAGGTCGGTAATTTAATACCAATTTGTGGGGAAGTCAACAGTGGTTGTCCCATGAATCGCCTCGCCCCTGCCATATGAATGTGGAATTTCAACCTCTGACTCAGTGCTGTAAACAGGATATGATCACCACTTCAATGTACATTTGACTGAGGAATCACTGATTATGATTGACTGCCAATAATCCAGGGCTGTGAAGTTTTGAGAACTCCCATGGCTGAGATTCACCAGTGGGCACGACTATGGGGCACCAATCAGTAAATCTCACTCATTATTTTGTAGAGCCAAAGTGATGCAGGGGGTATGGTGAAGACCTTTGGACAAGCTTGCATGTGAGTGAGGCCAGTGGCATAGCGTGAATGGCATGGACCCTGGTGCAAGGAATACATTGGAGCCCAGTATCCAATGGTCCCCTCTCTTTGTAGCCTGGTGCCTGTTACCCTCAATCGCGGGTCGTGGCTATGAAATGTGCTGGCTGTGCAAATTATCTTCAAACTGGCCAGTTCTGTACATCGTTGTGGTGATCAGTGTAATCCATGTCACATTCCTGTTTACTTTGCGTCCACTTCCCAGCGTCATGTGGCCCTGATAATCATTTGAACACAAACTAAGGATAGTTTCGTGGACAATTTTTTTTTAAGGGAAAAAAATACATTGGGAAGCTCGATCCACAGTCCCTGTACAATAATTGTCTACAAACAAACTGAGGGCACCCCAATGGGCTCCCCCCTATCTCTGGTTGTAGCCAAAATTTTCATGGAGAAATTTGAGACTGACGCCATCCAGACTGCCACTCTGCGCCCAACCTTATGGAAGAGGTACGTGGATGACACTTTTGTCATCTGGCCACATGGCCGGCCTGCTCTAGACCAATTCCTCGACCACATCAATTCCATACATCCAACCATAAGATTTACCATGGAAGTCGAAAAAGATGGCAAGCTACCTTTTTTCGATGTCCTAATAAAAAAGAGACCTGATGGTTCAATGAGCCACTCTGTCTACAGGAAAGCTACCCATACAGATGCTTACCTGAAACCGGATTCCCACCACCATCCATCCCAGAAGAATTCCCTCATCAAGACTCTGCACCATAGAGCCCAATGCATATCCGACCAGGAACACATTGCCAGTGAACTCAAGCACGTACACCAAGCTCTTAAGGCTAATGGTTACTCTGACTACACAATCCGCCAAGCTATCACTCCAACCATGAAGAAGGACCCTCTTGAGGTGCCTTTCAAAACCATCACTTTACCCTACATTGCGGGGATCACAAAAAAGATCTCCAAAATATTGAATAAACACAAGATCCAGGTCCAATTCAACACATTACATAAAATCCGTGATCTGGTTCCGTCTGTAAAATATGTGATTCCGGACATACAGTACCCTGGCGTTTACAAACTAAGTTGCCTCTGTGGTAGTAGTTACATTGGAGAAACCAAACGACATGTCTCGGATCGCATTCGTGAACACAAAGCAGACCTAAAACACGGTAGGACCAACACCTCGGCCGTGGCAGATCACTGTTATAATTCAGCAGGCTCACATGACATTGACTTCTCCAAGACAGTGGTTCTTTGCAAGCCATCTGGCTACCATGAGAGATTCGTTCATGAGGCTATCGACATATACAAACACAGAGACAATTTCAACCGAGAAGATGGATTCTGGCATAGCAATCATTGTAAGGATTTGATCAACCATTTCGGGTCTTAATTGATTGTTCACGCTTACGGTGGCTTTCAGACCGCATCCATTATTTTCGTCTCCCCCCTCCTCTTTTCCGAACATAGATGGACTCGTCCATTTCGAACAAACTGCCAAATCGCTCTCCGTGGTGCTAAGGTAAAAAAACGCCACTTTTTTCAAATTTTCTTGCTGTGGTTTTCACACCTGATGATGATTGCTTGTGTTGCAGTCGAAACGTCGTGAGTATTTTATTATTTTATATATTAATTATTTTATTGTTTCCCTTCTATGTGAGACTTTACCGAAAGAACCAAGAATAATAATTGTTTATTTAAAATTAGGTAACCATTCACCCCCATAGTGTGATACATTCGTTTATGATTTCGGGGTCACATTTCGGTTCAATAAATATTTTTTGTTCTTTTTTGCCAACCAACTCTTTTGTACTGTTTATATTTTTCACTCTCATTTGTAGTTTTGTTTACTCCGTTATCTGTAACGTAGAAGCATATAATTTCCATGAATAATAATTAATGTATTCTCACATGGGCAATTCAATGCATGCAACATTAGCCAAATAATAAATCAAATATTTAAATAAAACATATATACATGTAGAATCCTTCGTCAGTTCATAGCTGCATGAGGGCCTTCCCACACCATGCAGGTTATGGGGGTTATTTGACCATACTTCACCACACTGCTCAGTGTAGTTGGTGAATGCGAGGAGCGTAGATGTGAGAGCATGTAAGTAGTGTACAATTGATGTTGTTGCTCACAACGAAGCAACCACTGCATGCCCATTTACTATAGTATATCATATAAAGTATATACAGTCAGTTTTTTTTAAATAGGAGGCAGGAAATTATAGTCTTTATATTTCGGTTTGAATATTTTAATGTGTTGAAAGCACATGAGCGGCGATTTACTCTGTAGCTGCACAGACTAATATCCAGCAGCATTTGTTTGAACAAGCAAATTCCAGACCGGATTAGACCTCGTGATTGTTATCAGGAGAGTCAGGTTTCTTAAACAAATGGTGCTAGGTTCCCAATGTTATTGGCAAATGCATTTGTCTAGAAAGCCAATAGGCTAATGGGGAAAACATTTTTGTATTTATACGTGGAGACACAATACGGAGTTCTGATTACTCAAGCTTTTATCAATAATGCTCCACATATAATAATGAGTTTGTGTACAGTGTTTACATAATTATTGCACACAATCAGTCTCAGCTGTTACCAGTGTAGATGGTTCCATCGGTGGTGAGCAGAGCAGCGCCTACTGGGAATTTGCTGTAAGGGCTGTATGATTGCTTGAGCACATCACGGCTGAGTTGTATGAGCTCCAACACCCACTTATTTCCTTCTGTATCTGCTCAAAACACATTTACACCGCAGGGTTAAGGATCATGGAGACATGAAATTATAATTGCTTAACCACTGCCTCCAGATGCACGATTTACACAAGATGAGAAGTTGCATTTTTCAACTGTATACGCATGCCCTTTTTACTTTTCACAATATCAATCGGTTTAACTTAATCATTTTTACCAAACTGTATTTTTTTAAAGATAAATTATACGTTATATTTAATGAATTTGCAAGAACTACACTATATTTTTCGCACTTCCGATTAGTACGCTTGGCTATGTACAGTGCAAAAGAAGCCTTTTGGCGTCCTCTGGTCTAACACCGTTTTGAGACTAGGCTCAAAAGAAAGTTTCCTCTGGTGTGGACCAATCAGTTTCAAAGACAATGCATTATATTATCAGAGTACTTTTTTTGCATTCTGACCACAAGTATTGTGGTTAATGCAGACATGATTCCTTGTAAAAGGTTTTAGTTTGATGTTTTAACATCTTAACACCTGATTCAAAGCTTTCGTGACTGAAGGGATTCATATTCTTGGTTCTTTCGGTAAAGTCACGTAGAAGGGAAACAATAAAATAATACAAATATAAAACATTACCATTTTCTTGCTGTGGTTTTCACACCTGATGATGATTGCTTGTGTTGCAGTCGAAACGTCGTGATAATTTTATTGTTTATATTTTAATTATTTTATTGATTCCCTTCTACGTGACTTTACTGAAAGAACCAAGAATATATATCTTAACATCTGTTTTATGAATACCTGTTTTGTTGCCAGAAAAAAAGGGGAAAACCTATTCTCGAATTTCTTACTCATTTATCCATTGTGTAATGCCTCTTACGAAACGATTACAAAACTAGGCATTTTTTTATGTGGTCATCAGTGTTGCCAACTCAGTGATTTTGTCACTAGATGTCACAACTTTGAGTTTCCCGAACCACAACATGTTATCAAAGTGACAAGCGACAACTATGTAGACTTTCTGGAAAGACAATCAGCAGATGTGGGTGGAATTCCACGTAAAGGGATCCTGTATCAGTTTGTGGAAAATTGTCATGACATTTTTATGACCTCAGGTCTATCTTTTGACATTCAGTGATTTATTTGTTTTGGTTCGTTTGACTTTTTTTCCCCACTTGAAAGAGTTGGCAACACTTGCAGTCATCACATGCAGGCTAACTTACAGGCTGCAACTTCAATGTAGTTCAAACTTCCTTCTCAAGATTATAAACATAACTCAGGTACGTTTACAGCAATTTGTCCATCTACCACTGGATGCGTGCATCCCCCACCCGACTGTGCATGTATGTGAGGTAATTTGTCGATACTGAACTAATGGCAAGTGTGGGTTGGTGAAGGTAGCGAGCATAGACGTGGGAGCATTTATGTACAGTACAACTCACCCGTAGTTGAGTTAATCAAGGTACAACATTTTGTTGAGGTGGCGTCTTATCAGTCTGAAATTGCTTTCGCCAGAGCCACAAGCTCACACTGCTAACTTGTGAACCACGCAACAGATGGAGTGTTGCAAGAGACTGGTGTGACTTAAATTACAAACACATGATTGACAACACATGGCAGTTGCTTACATTGATTTCACATACTAATGTAATCACTGGTTTGTTTTGTTCGTTCGTTTATCAGTCCGCTTGTCCTGGTGAGGGTTCGCAGCGGCAGCATGTTGAGTAGGGTGGTCCAGACCTCCCTTTCCCTGACGACAGACTCTAGCTCTTCCTGGAGAATTCCCAGGCGTTCCCAGGTCAGCTGAGCAAACGCCAGCGTGTCCTGGGCCGGCCCCAGGATCTTCTCTCAGTGGGACGTGCCCGGTAGAATTCCAGGGGGAGTCTATCAGGGGGCATCCTTACCACGTGCCCGAACCACCTCAACTGCTCCTCTCGATCGGGAAGATCAGCGGCTCGACTCTTGAGGCTCTCCCGGATTACCGTGCTCCTCACCCGGTCACGGAGAGTGAGCCCGGCGGTGTTTAAACCAGAATAGTGTGTTACGCAGCCCTTTCGAAGGATGCATAACGCATTGTGTTTAAATCGGATTTGTGGGATTTGCGACTCCCTTTGAAGTTCTAGATTTGAAGCTTTCGTGACTGCAAGGATCCATACTCTTTGGTTCTATTCGGTAAAGTCACGTAGGTAAAAAATAAAACAACAAAAATCACGACGTTTCGGCCACAACACAAGTGGCCTTGTTCAGGTGAAGGAATAGAACTGTCGGGACGACAGCACTTCAATGACCGTTGCTAAGATTCGCAGCGTCTTTTAAGCTCGGTGGGAGGAGCAGGGCGCCTTGACAAAGGAGTTTACATATCAAAAATAGCTGTGTTAAAGTGTTGAAACAGCAGGGTGTTAAAGTCAGAAAATTAGCATGTAACTGGGGGCTTAGCATGTTTTTGTTGTGTAGAGGGTGCGGAGGATGGGTCACTGTGTGTGTGCAATAGAAACGGAAAAATTAAAGATCGGCAAGAATGTGCTGTGAGGGGAGAGTAGAAAAAAGGGTTTAATAGAAAGTATGGTATACCATTACTTGAAATTGCTGTTAGAAATTAGTTGACGTTTGGTATGATTTAAAACGTCTTTCCAATGGTTGCTTAATTTGAAACCATCCTCTCGGTTGAAGTTATGTCTGTGTTTGCATATGTGAATGGCTTCGTGGACAAATCTCTGGTGATAACCTGTAGATTTACAGAGAACCTTGGTATCGGAGAAGACAATCTCATGATCACCCATAGCGTTGTAACAATGATCAGCCACAGCAGATGAATTCGTCCTGCCGTGTTTCAGATCTGATGTGCTACTACTCAACGATGGAAGTTACTCAAAAATTAAAAATGACCCTACTAATAGCCTAACTATAAAAACCAACAAGATCATCACAAGTTCGACCTCCCTAATCGAACCAACTAAATGTCCCTCCCTAAAACCTTCTGCTGCTAGACCCCCTAGATTCTATGGTCTCCCCAAGATTCATAAAGAAGGCACTCCACTACGACCCATCGTATCCACGATCAACTACCCTACCTATAAGCTAGCACGTTTTCTGTCAGATACCTTGCTACCTTTCACTGGCAAGACCTCCTCAGCAGTACTTAACTCAGCCCAATTGGTCTCTATGGTCAAAGACGTTGTACTGTCCCCTGACGATATCCTTGTCAGCTTCGATGTGGTCTCTTGTTCACCAAGGTCCCAGTACCTGATACCATTGAAATAATTGAAAATTTGGTACAACATGGACTAGACCCCGATACACCTGCGCTGGTTAGACACTGCCTCACCAATACATACTTTACTTGGAATGGCACCTTCTACAAACAAAATGAGGGTATCCCCATTGGTTCTCCCTTATCACCAGTGATAGCCAATGTTTTCATGGAGAAATTTGAATCAGACGCCATCCAGACCTTCCCTGTGGAAGAGACATGTGGATGACACTTTCGTCATTTGGCCACATGGCCTCCCAGCTTTGAACCTTTTCCTACACCACATCAATTCCAGACATCCCGCCATCAAATTAATCATGGAAGTGGAGAAAGATGGCAAGCTACCATTCTTGGATGTTCTGTTTGAGAGGAGACCTGATGGCTCATTGGGGCATTCTGTCTACAGGAAACCCACCCACACAGATTCCTACTTGAAGCCTGATTCCCACCACCACCCAGCTCAAAAGAATTCTCTCATCAAAACGTTATACCACAGGGCTCATTGCATTTCGGACCAACACCACCTGACAAGTGAATTAAAACATGTACACCTGGCCCTCAAGAGAAACAGATACTCCGACCGTACTATCCGCCAAGCTGTTTCTCCCTCCATACAGAAACAACCACTTGATACTCCGGTCAAAACCATCACACTACCATATATAGCAGGCGTTACTAAAAAGATCTCCAAAATTCTAAACAAACACAAGATCCTGGTCCGGTTCAATACAGTACACAAAATCCGTGACCTGATCCCATCCGTGAAGGATGTCATCCCTGACTTACAGTACCCCGGAATTTACAAATTGAGTTGTACCTGCGGTGATTGCTATGTCGGGGAGACGAAACGACATATCTCTGACCGAATTCGCGAGCACAAATCAGATCTGAAACACGGCAGAACGAATTCATCTGCTGTGGCTGATCATTGTTACAACGCTATGGGTGATCATGAGATTGTCTTCTCCGATACCAAGGTTCTCTGTAAACCTACAGGTTATCACCAGAGATTTGTCCACGAAGCCATTCAGATATACAAACACAGACATAACTTCAACCGAGAGGATGGTTTCAAATTAAGCAACCATTGGAAAGACATTTTAAATCATACCAAACGTTAACTAATTTCTAACAGCAATTTCAAGTAATGGTATAGCAAGCATTTTCTTTCCGAATTTTCTATTAAACCCTTTTTTCTACTCTCCCCTCACAGCACATTCTTGCTGATCTTTAATTTTTCCGTTTCTATTGCACACACACAGTGACCCATCCTCCTCACCCTCTACACAACAAAAACATGCTAATCCCCCAGTTACATGCTAATTTTCTGACTTTAACACCCTGCTGTTTCAACACTTTAAACATAGCTATTTTTGATATGTAAACTCCTTTGTCAAGGCACCCTGCTCCTCCCACCGAGCTTAAAAGACGCTGCAAATCTTAGCAGCGGTCAATGAAGTGCTGTCGTCCCGACAGTTCTGTTCCTTCACCTGAAGAAGGCCACTTGTGTTGTGGCCGAAACGTCGTGATTTTTGTTGTTTTATTTTTTACCTACGTGACTTTACCGAATAGAACCAAAGAGTAGGGATCCCTTTGAAGTTGTCCGCATAACACATGATTAAACCAGACTGGTGCCATGAATTGTGTATGGGCTTCTGTGTGTGGGTCTGTTGTAAATCTCTGAGTTCTTTATGTGTTTATGGATCTGAAAGCTTTTACAGACTTAATGTGGGTGCATTTTTTTGCACTGCCACTTAACTTTCGGTAAAATCCGGACTTTAACCTGGTCGTTGAAAATACTTGACAAGATGTTTGACAGATTCCATTAGGTTGAGATTTTTTAAAAAGTAAAATAGTCACATTCTCAGAGGCGAATGAGATATTTTTCGACCTACGTGACTTTACTGAAAGAACGAAAGAGTAGGGAATAGATGTTTAATATATAGCAATTAGAGCTACATTTTTACTTAAAGCTTTCGTGACTGTAGAAATTAATATTCTTTGGTTCTTTCGGTAAAGTCACGTAGATAGAAAAATTATTTTTAAAAAGTGAATAAAAATATAAATTATTTTAAAAATAAGAATAAAAAATAAAAACATTAATGTGGACTGTTGCCTAGTTCTTAATCGGAGTGAGTGTACTGGCAGTCTATAATGTAGACTGTAGCTTGGTTATTAAGTTTGGTGAGTGTACTGGCAGTCTATAATGTAGACCGTAGCAATAGTTATTAAGCTGAGTGAGTGTACTGGCAGTCTATAATGTAGACTGTAGCCTGGTTCTTAACCTGAGTGAGTGTACTGGCAGTCTATGATGTAGACTTATTCTTGGTTCTTTCAGTAATAAAAAAATAAGAATAAAAGAAAAGAATAAAAAAGATTTTTAAAATAACAAAAACCACGACGTTTCGATCACAACACATCTACGCCTCTATATAAGGAACGAAACAGTAAGACTTCTCCACAAATCTGGCTGTCGCCTGATGAAGCTAGTTGTAATTACTGGTGAAACGTCGTACTCAGATTGTAAATGTTGTGGCTTGGCTCTCCAACACACCGGTGTGCTGTACTAGTGACGAATTGGCACGTTCTGTTTATGTGACAACCCTTACTAGTTGGCTGTGTCGGGTGGTGGCGGGTTTTAACGACACATTTATATAGTTACGCGATCCAACCCAAAAAAACCTTTATTATGGATATATTGAGCTCTATGGTGTAGCGTTTTGATGAGGGAATTCTTCTGGGATGGATGTGGTGGGAATAAGGTTTTAGGTAGAATAAATTGCTTAAACACAGAAGTTTGGTGTGTTTTCTTCCTGTTCATGAATAATAATCTTATTACAAGAACTGTATTCTGCATTAAGATCTGAATTGGAGACCTGACATAAACACACTAATACACTCAGTAAATGTTAAAGCGAGAATAATTGTATTGCCGAGCGTTAATATGAAATTAAACAATAAAGCGCAGCTTACTCTGGCATACTTGCATCACACTGGTATAACTTCATACGATCAATTGTATGATCCCGATTGATAACCTGACCCTCGTCAGCGAGGCAGGGCCTAATTATCATAACGGCTAGCATTACAATAATCACACACACTCGCATAATTACATCAATTAACATAATTTCGGATAATTACGCGTTTTCCCAAAATTCATTTAATTTTTATTATTTTCATCAAAATTTTCATAACCGACATATAAAACACCATCCTCTTCAACCTCTATACACGCAGCCATCAAATTCACCATGGAATTTAACCAGGATATAGTCGACATTATAGACTGCCAGTACACTCCCTCCGATTAAGAACCAGGCTCCAATCTACATCAATGTTTTTTTTATTTTCTATCTACGTGACTTTACCGAAAGAACCAAAGCATAGCAATTATACCTTTGTGAATTTATAGAACACATTTCATCCCAGTGCGCCATGCCGTTACGCGAGTAATCGAAAAGGGAATGGCATGTTTAGAGTACGTGCACATGTCAGGCACAGCTCAACACGCATTTCTATTTGACTCGTGAGGCAACTCGTGGCCAAAAGGTTTCGTGAGTTGGGGCGGTCACGTTGCAGATCTGCCGCGCGTCTGCTACTATTTGCAGTTCGAAGCCCGGCAGCGCGGCCTCCTTGGTTAATACGGAGCGTGTATTGCAGACGGCTCACGTTTGTTGGGCTTGAAAGTGGACGTTACATGTCACGTTTGTTGGGCTTGACAGTGGCCGTCACCTATCACATGGCGTTATTCGAAGAGTAAGCCCCCGTGTGTGGCGGAGTCACGCTCCAACTTTGAAATTGTACTCGCAAAACATAGGCAGAGTTTTTTGTTGTTTTATTTTTTACCTACGTGACTTTACCGAATAGAACCAAAGAGTATGGATCCTTGCAGTCACGAAAGCTTTAAATCTAGAAGAGATTGACTTCTATATTAGGGGGGGGGGGGGGTCGCCTTGTCCCTCACATAAGGAATCCCGGGTGTATATCATTTTTTTAAATTGTATACAACTGAAATTTAATAATTAATGTGTCCAAACTTCGCCCAAGGACACAAATTACTTCATTGAGTAAAACGGCAGATTAACATCGCCTCCATCCGCAATGCAACCGCAGACTATACTCGTCTGAAAAATAACCTTGCGCAATAGGAATGGTGCGAATACTAAAAGTACCGATTTGATTTGGTAGAAATAACTCGAATTGAAAGCACACCAATTTTCAACGAAAGAGGTTCTCAACAGCATCTTCAAACCTGCCAACCCCTCATCAGTGCCCTACCTTATTACAGACCAATTCCGACCTTATTGGTCACCCCGTGCCCTTATAAATCTCAACGTTCACCCTACAAAGTCCCATCACAAGGGAGAAACACAAAGAAATATACCCAAAACAATGTTTTAGCCCATATTTAAACGGCTGTACGCCATATGGTCCTGCAAAACTCTTATTTCCCTGGACCTTACAAAGTCCACCAACTTGACTCAACATGCGTCACCAAGTGAACGTGCAATATAGGGTATAACCAGGTACACAAAGAACACTGTAAACAGTAGATTCTGATCATGTAAACCTACAGTCCTTTGTCAATCCACTGCTGGATAACGGATTCCCCTCCCTTTCGTTCACGGGGGGTTGTTTGACCATACTTCACCACGCTGGTCAATGCGGGTTGGTGACGGGAGTGTTACGGGAGAGCCAGGACCGGTTCCGATATTACTTAGCGCCGATGTTTGGCCAGTAAATGGACTCAAGTTTATGGGTATATCGTGTTCCGATTGCTGCAATATCGCTCCACTGTGCTATGCACACATCATATTGATGAGGCAAATAATTGTGTTCACATAAAAATACACCATACAACAGGCATTCACATCGTATCAACAACAACGTAAATAAATGTTGTGTATACAGCATAGAAACACGAAGGCAGAGTCACACATTGTTTCCGTGAAAAATAGTATGCAGCATTACACACACTCTCTCTCTTACGAACAATACTGTTTCAACACGCAAAAACATGTTGGTCAAATTCCACACGCGACAATCCAATCTTAGGTATAAACTTGCATCTTTCGTCGGCCGGCAAAGTCCATGTACCATATGTTATGTTCGCAACTTGTCAGCACCAATGCGATGTGAAAACACACAGCACACACACACTACAGTACACAGAATGTGATGTATCTGTGCGAGTAAAGACTATTCAACAATGGTGTAACACTCACGTTCCATCGAGATGGCAACAAACTTGTCCGACCGATTAAGTCAGGGGGACCTGCTGTCACACGCTTTATATGACCAGGAACGAGTTTGCCCAGGAAGGGGGCTTGCTGACTTTGCTCACTCATTTCCGACCACAGAAAGGAATATAATTAAATAAGCGCGAGCCGTGCGTTGCAGACAAGAGAGATCGGAGCTGATGACAGTCGGTTTTTGGCTGGTCGGTGAACACGAGGTCGACTTGGGCGTTGCCAACACTTCTGGATGGACCGGGAATCTGGCGCAATTGGCATCGATCTCTCCCGGTGGCTTTCGAAAGCAATCCCCGGGGGTGTGGGGATGGGAGGGGATTTTAATTGGACACGTTTAGTAAATAGACCCATGATGCAGCTGGCTGGTCACCCCGAGCTAAAACTGCTCTGATACGTGCATTGTCTTTGTGCTGTTCTCCTTTTGGTGTGCTCTGGTCTAACACTGTTTGAGACAAGGTTCAAAAGAAAGTTGTCTCTGGTGTGGACCAATCAGTTTCAAAGGCAATGCCATATATTACATCGTTTGTTCCTGGGTTGTGTTATTTTCTAATTTCTTATGCCTAAAAAGTACAGAAAATGGCTATTATTCCCCACAAACTTTGCTTTTGTGACCAGGACACAAAAGCAAAGTTAATAATCCACTCCATTAATAAGTGTAAAACATTAATTTTTTGTTCCTGGGTAATAAGTGTTATTTCCGAATTGCTTATACTTCAAAAGTGCGGGAAATGGCTATTATTCCCCACAAACTTTGCTTTTGTGACCAGGACAGTGATATTTAGAAATGTACCTATTTTCAATGAAAAAACGAGAGCATTAGAGCGTACTCTTTGGTTCTTTCAGTAAAGTCACGTAGAATGAGAATAAAATAATAAAATAAAACGATAAAATTCTCACGACGTTTTGGCCACAACACAAGTGGCCTTCTTCAGGTGAAAGGAACAAACCTGTCGGGACGACAGAGCTACAATGAACGCTGCTAAGATCCGCAGCGTCTTTTAAACTGGTTGAGAGAAGTGAGGCACCTTGACAAAGGGGTTTACATATCAAACAGGAGCATTTAGCATTGAAACAGTTGAGGGATTAGCTTGTGACTGGTCACAGAAATATCTATGTTAAAGTCAAAGCCTACACATCCACAGAGGCACCTCGTACATAGACGCCAAAGGGGCTGCAACAACTCAACTATAATACAGTAAACCGATGTGAAAAAAAAACCTAAGTCTAAATTACATCAATATAATAAATGTACTCAATACATTCTTCAACGTCGTGAGAATTATATTGTTTTATTTTATTATTGTATTCTCATTCTACGTGACTTTACCGAAAGAACCAAAGAAGAAAAGTCACGTAGGTTTAAAATAAAATAAATCACGACGTTTCGGGCGCAACACAAGCGTCATTTAACCAACTGTCATTTAATTTGTGACGTAATGCGAATACCAAATGGGGTGGGAGGCCGAGTTACCACCTGATGATGGACGCTTTGTTGCGCCCGAAACGTCGTGATTTATTTTATTTTATACCTACGTGGTGACTTTACCGAAAGAACCAAAGAGTATGGATTCCCGCAGTCATGAAAGCTTCAAATCAAGCATGAGAGCATGTTTTTTTTTTGCATGTTCACCACAAGTACGTGTGGTTAATGCAGACAGGATTCACTGAATAAGGATTCTGTTTGGTGTTTTAACATCTTAAACACCTGATTTATTGCCAGAAAGGGTGAAAGCTATTGTTATATTTAGTTCAAGAGTTGGAAACCGTAGTGGCAACACGACTGCATAATGCTCACATGTCACCATTGGCATTCGCGTGGATTATTGATTTACTGCGGTACAGTGCGAGCAAGCTCTCGCCTCGGGTGAACTTCACGCACTCACTATTACACCTTGCCAACACTCACGGGTTATAACTAACGCGCCTCGCATTGACCGCGCGACGTAAAGTGTGACAGACACTCTTTTGTAAAAAATATATATATAATCACCCGACCAGTCTTGTGTAAACAAAACAAAATTGTGGATGGCCAGGGCTTAAAGGGGCCGTCCATAAATGACGTCACGCGATTTTGGACGATTTTTTTACTCCCCGTCCTTGTCACACGGTGTCACAAAAAGTCAGACCCCCCCCCTCAAAGATGACGTCACAAAGCTCTGCCCCCCCCCCCAAAAAAAATATAAAACATACTTCAAATCGCTTTAAACTATTCTCATTGTAGTGCGTATTTAATGTGGCGCTGCACTCTGATGTTGTAGCAGAAAACATTTATTAAAAAGTCTATTTAATTCAAGGCTGGCACGGCCCGGTTTTATTCATTCGGGTTTTAATCGGTTTTTATATAAAACCAGAGCACCTGGATCCTGTCCAAATCCGGTTTTATTCGGTTGTATTAAAGTTAAGTCGGGATTTCAGTCGCAGGCACCCATTAGCGGTGTTCGGGCCGGGGACCGGGCTCAGCCGCCATGCGCGCTCCAGAAGATCGCCGTCAAACTGTTCAGCATAGCCACGTCGACCGCTGCTGCGTCTGAGCGACGCTGGGATTTATCCATTCCAAGTTGAGGAACAGCCTGGCGCCCAACACAGTCGAGAAGCTCGTCTTCATTAAGTCGAACCTCAACGCGTTCTACGACTACCTGACGCCCGGCGACGGCCACGACAACACCGAGTCCAGCGGCGAGAGCGACGAAGACGAATGTGTGTCTGTTCGAAAAGTTTAGCATACCGTGATGGCAGTGAGGAGGCCGTGATGGCATGGAGGATGCCGTGATACACTCACTCATCTTACATTGACTCACTCACACATCATGCATTCACTCACACAACCACTGAGCCATTCACTCATCATACACTAATTCACTCATCATACACTCACTCATCATACGCTGAGTCACACATCATACACTTACTCACACTACCACTGACTCACTCACACATCATACACTGGGAGTGTCATGCTGCCAGCTATGGCTGCAAGTTTGGTTGTACATGTTATTTATATCGTTTATTGTTAAATGAGAATCACAGTTCCTATGATTAATGTTGTTACATTGTTTTTTATAGCTTTATTTTGGTGATTTAGAAAACATATGGTTAATCTATCTTATGTTTGTTATTGTTTGACTTGCATCACACTGGGATTTGAGCACACAGCGTTGTAATACTTTTTTTTAGATTTGCTGGTTTATCCAGGATGGTTCTATTGTGCGTTGTCGCTTCAAGACGATTCTAAAGTAATTTACAGCCTTCCATTCCTTTGTGCGATTCTTGGCGCGCTCGGGATTAATTTTATTTTAAATTAATGAGTTATCTTTTCATTTGTATGTTACGTTTTTAAGCTTTCAGACGTTTTAAAATATATTTTTCCCGCTAGTATCAGTGTATATCGACTCTATAGCACAAAGTCCTCACCTGACATAGTGGGGTGTTGAGGCCTAGTCCCGTGCAGAGCCCCCCCCCCCCCCCCCCCTACAATAATGCTATTTAATCGCTATAATTTTAGTATCTGCCGATCCTATAATAGTAAGTACACACATTGGGGTGGAGGGGGAAAGAAGAGGACGTGACATTTTGATGAATTTATCTCAGTGTTGCGTGTACATTTTTTGCATTTGAAAGCGAATGAGAAATTCCCCCCACCCTCCGGCGAAGGCGTCTGTGCGCGTTGCCAGGGGCAACTCGTGTCAGCGTTTCGCGCATGCGCACACAGCGAGCCGGGGGGAAAAAGTAAATAAATAAAAAGGAATCACACAAAAAGCGATTTTAACCACTTTAAAGTTTAGGGATGGAACAATGGAATAGCCTATTTTCACCGCGGGGCTCGGGGCGTGCCGCCCGGAAATTTTTTTTCGACTTTAACCCCACCGTCGGGGAGCAAAATCCCCCGCGAGCGTGCGTGCGCAGACAGACGGACAGACAAATGCCTTTGATAGGTTAGATTTACACAATGCAATACAGTATCGATTGGAATGACGCCCCATTCTTTTTAACATGAAGATAAATACTGATTTAAAGAATTAAGACCCATTCATTTCCAATTAGTGTACAAATATTTTAAAAAACGTGAAAAAATCTGCATATAGCAAAATGCTTTTCTTTTATCACAACACTATCAGTCCGTTCTGAAAGAAGGCATGGATTTTATAGATCATACCACCCTTGGCTTTCATGGAATATGAAAGAGCTTTTGATTCAATTTAAACGGATTCAGTTATCCAAGCTCTCAACACAAATGCCTTAACATAAATGGTTAAAACCAATTGTAAAAATATCTACCCTGCATAAGGTAATAAAATAGAATCTGAACAGTATTCAGACAAGGAATATATTTTCAAAAGATTGGATTTGGGGGAAAAGGGCATCCATATAAAAAGATGTTCCCACAAAGCAACAATTGGCTGTTTGGTTGGTCCTGTGAACAGGATTGTGCGGGGTAAGGTACATCAAACAGACATGCAATAATGTTCAGAATTCTTTGTAAGTTTTCCCATGAATTTATTGACAGGACATTGAATGCTCCTCACAGCTGCATTAAGCCATACACTGAACCTGTAAACATACTGAAGCCATTCCAGCACAAAGGAACATCACCGTTCCTGCATGCCCGGGATGAATGTCATGATAACACCGTCAGGCGTACATCCAACACACCTACCATCCACTGACGCATATGCAATAAACCACACAGCAGATAATTATTCAATGACAAAACAGTACATTGGTCCAATCACTTACGAACGCGCACACACACATTCGCCTAGCAATCGCTCACATACATAAATGCACATAATTATACTAAGCACGGCAGTCACAAAAGTAGCGTTAAGTGCTCAGCACATATGAGCATGTTCCGACATGGGACTATCCTCATCTGCAGTGCTGTTATCATTAACATCTACGTCACTGTTACACAGCACTATGTGTGCAAATGTCTGCTTGTGCACTCACCAGGGTAGGGCATGTGGTCTTTTAAAATCAAGGCAATTGGGATATAAAGTACAGTATATTACAAATCGTCCCATTATGTATTTACTTGAAGCATGCGTTCAAAAGTTTAGATATTACTGATTACATGAAATACTATTTTCTATATACATAACTTATTACTAAATTAACTCCTTAAATAATCATCTATTTTAACCAAAGTCAATTAGTCCCTTCACTATTTAATATTTGTACTATTCCTCTCCTGCTGTCTCTAGTCTCTAGTAATAATTTAGTTTGCTGCGAGTTGATACGTGTTTTTA